CTCGACTAAAGCAGAATTGAATCGTGAAAACATGCATAGATTGAATATGAACTCAAGATTATCAAGTCAGAGTACTCATACAATCATCCAATCAAACAAACATAGCTAGGGTTCCTCAAAACCTAAGTGAAGGGAAGTTACTCCATAGAGAAGAGAGAGACTGCAGTAAGAATCCTCAGATGATCAGTCTTCAAGTCCGGGCTTGTTCCTCGAGCTTCCAAGGCGAAGAAACCCTCCAATTCCACTCCAAGAATGCCCTCAAATCGCTCTCTCTCTCTCACTTTGGTTCGTCCCTAGGGTGTTTGGAATCCAAAACCCAGCTCTCCCCCTCACAAACGCACAAAACAGGCTTTTAACAGCCTGCGTTCGCGATCCCCGGTCGAAATACCCGGTCGGGTATTTTGGGTCTCGACCGGGTATAATTGAGACGCACCGTTTCGGCCTCAGGGAAAATCCCCGGTCTCTTCCAATAATCCCCGACCGGGGATTTTAGCCATTTGCCCGGGCCCCCTTCTGTTTCTCATGGGTGCCCAAAATGATAAATACCCGGTCGGGTATTTTGCCACCTGACCGGGTATTTTCCTCCTGCAGCCCCCTTAGTCCCAACTCGGCTCCTTTCGACCCAGAACTCGTTTCTTCGCCTCGATTCCAACGCCGGGTCCTGAAATATGACATAAACACACAACCTAGCGTGAAATCGGCTTAAAACACGAGATTCCACATCACAAACGGCTTCAGAATAGGGGTGAAAACATGTGTAATTATCGGTCTATCAGTTGTTTATGTAAATTTTTGTTTTTCATACTTTTCACCCAATTCACCATGATTTTTTAATCTTTAGACAGCTCTTTCGATATTTTTATTTTGGCAATTTTTTGTACTCTACATTCAATTTTACCATAAATTCTTTTTTCCCACGATTAGTAGTTTACATAATTTTTTGTTTTTCATCTCCTACACTCAATTTTGTCACAAACTCCTTTCCTTTATACAGAGATATGAATACTTTTTCATTCCACAAATACATTAAGAAAAGTTTATAATTAACTAAAATATTCGCCATCATCAATTGCATTACGCAAAATCTGTAACTTAAGTTAAATTTTTAATTGTAGTTTAATCAAATATGATACTTATCATAACCTGATTTTATTATCAGACCACATATTATGAAAGAATCTTTCAACACTTGTCGTACAACCATAAAATCAATACAAATTAAGGGTAGGTTAAAATTAGTTTAATTGCTATGTTTTGAAAATAATTAGAAATAGGGAATGGCTAAGGCTCAACGGGTGCTGACTAAGGAATATTATAATATGGGTAGTCAATTTGGCTGTGGGCTAAACCTATGACTCTGTCTTTCATATTAGTGATGTAGTGATGCTAACTAATCATGACAAGAGAGAACTATGGCACAAGAAAGAAACGAACAGGCACCAACCTCATATGGCTACCTAGTTGCTCAATTTCATGTTCAAAATTCCTTATGCATGATGCCTCATTATCTGGTGATAGTGAATAAGGCATCCAAACCACATACAATTTTGCAATCAAATGGAAACTGGTAACACACACAATCATCTACACATCTCAGTCATCATAATAGGTCACTATAAATCACAATCATGCTAACATGCACTCATTCCAATAGTTCTGAGATTCAAAACAACAATTCAAAAAGTGCCCACTATGTTTTCTTGAAGCACGTTTTCAGATAATCAATCATTCATAAAGAATCAACACTCCCCCACACCCGAGTGTTAACATTGGCCTTAATGGAGATTTAGAAGGGGTATCGGAACGAATTTACCATGGAGTGATGATCATGCACGTACTATGACTTGCACGAACTACACTGCGATTTAAACTCCCAACTAGAGCCCAAATATAAACTCTAGCCGGGTGAAGTAGGGCAATGTTTAAATGTCAAACCTGGGCCGGTTCATGTACACCTACTTCAACCATTTGAAACATTATCTAGCAATTGAATTTTGGTTAAAACTATGGATTATAACTAAAAGCAAGTGGAAAGGTAAATGGTTTTGAACACTAATTTGAGAAGGCTTCACCAGTAGCAGGCTGAGCTGTATATTTTTTGAGTTCTTACATGACAAAGACTTTGGAATATCACACATTCACACGGACAAAAGTGTTGGGGGTTGATTATTTCAGAACTTGAGGTAGTATGGTTCAGTTTGATTAGATGCATGTGGTCATATAACTAGGGTGATGCAAATGTGGGGAATTTAGCTGAATGTATTTCATGAAAGTTCTCATCGATGTTAGCCATTGATGTTGCATATTTCTATGAATCCATCACAGGGGATGAAAAGTGAATGGGTTTTTTCTTTTGTGTTGCAGGTTTAACTATATTTTCCCTTTGCAACCTTGCAGCCGAAGAGTGATAAGTCGGCTTGGGGTGGGTCTCCTCAGCCCCCTTCTATGGAAATGTCAAGCGCCGACGGGGAAGACAACATTAGTGGCCAGGAAGGATGACGGGTAACAGAAGATGAGAGGAGTTTTTGTCTCTGCCAACACCGTAAACTGTCCCTTGCAGATAATCGCTTTCTATGTCTCATAATTTTGCTGGTTCTGTCTAGAAATTACAGCTTTTGCCTGCTTTAAACTGTACATCTAACCTAACTTGAGCACTGTGTGCCATTAGTCAAAGTTGCTCCCTTGTTTTTTAGTTTATGTTCTCGTGTTTGATTGTCTGCGCTTGCTATCCGCCCTGATATTCTTTCTTGATGTAGTCATTTGTTTTTGTACTAGAGATCGAACACCCACAAATCGTCATTCAACCATGGTCTCCTTTTCACTGCCAATCACTCGCTTGGTAAGCTCCTCTGCAAGATTGTTGTCTGAGCTCCAATCCAACACCTTTCAAGCTTTTTTCCATTATAAGCTCGATTCCAACACCTTTCGCTACCAATCAATCGCTTTGTAATGCATATGTCATTTAATTCTTAGCTCTAGCGGTTAACAACAATTTATGTTGCTTACGCTGAGTTCATAGGGTCTATGTGAAGGTACTCAGCTGAGTAAGTGATCTTTTGCAGGTCTGGAACAAATGTCAGTTGAGCCATTGGAGGAGTGAGGGCAGCAGATGTCTTCAAAGAGAAACATGACCAATCTGCAGCAAGAAGTTGATCAGATCCCTCTTCTGCTTGCAATTTAGTGACAAGGTTAGCTCCTTAATGCAAACTCTTTTGTTATGTCCACGCCCTTTTCATCAACTGTTCTATTTTACTGAAATTCACTCGATCCTGCTTAAGAAATTTGACGTGGCAAATCAATTTTACTTCTTTTTTGGGGTTGTCCTTTGCTGATTGATCCGTACAATTCTATGGAAAAACATATTGCATTTCGTGCGATAAATACCTTTCGGAATTTCCTCACAACTGAACTCCAATGTGTTCATTTTCCCTCTTGATCGTCGGTTGCTGTTGAGTTGTTCTTATTAGCCTATTATGGGCCTGAAGGCCTCAGGGTCATGCTGTTGTTCAGCCTGTGCCCTGTTTGTTGTAAATTGATGGAACTTAGGCTAAACTTTGCTGCAGTGTTTGTTCTTCGATTTTAAACTTCTCTTTGCAAGTCCAATGTTTTTTTATGGATTCAGTGGTTGATGAAGTAGAATTGAAGCTGGGATTGATCCAAAATTAACCAGCACATGAATAATTTCCAGTTTCCAGAAAAGTACACTCCATGTTTTAAGTTTTAAGTAGTTGCTTAAGAACTTCAGCCTTGCTGTCCAGTGTACATTTTCTGCTAAACGTCTACACCACATCCAGATGTAGAGATTTATGTGGGGTTATGTCTGGACTCTGGAGTAGTTCTTTATGGGACTTTTGTATATTAAATTCCATAATGTACTTCCTCTACGTAATAGAGAAAAGGCAATGTGGGGGATTTCTAAGTATTAAAGCCATAATCTATTAGAAGTTTAGAAAACTCAATTAGTTGTTTACAAAACTTTCTATATGCTATTCTACCTTGGATTCTCAACATATAGTTGCTACATGGTCATGAGAAGGATGACAGATAGGGAATCATAATACTATTTTGTCATAGGAACAATATACTGGCTGGAGGAGGGGCTCTTCATACTGAAATTCTGATGTTGCAGCAGGTCGAGGAATGCTTGAATGAGGTATTCTTCTGCAACTTCTAGCCTTTTCCTTCCTATGGGCGACGAGAGTGGTTTTATGGTTTCATGGCCGAGCATGATCCAAATTTAGAGGACTACTGTGTTCAAACTTGCAAGGTAGATAGTCATGAAAATCTCGAACTTTGCTTGCTTTCTTTTTTGGCAATTTTCTGAATTTGTAATTTAGCCGGTAGCCTCACCAATCTCTATTGTTCTTTCTCAACTAGCAGTTTTTTAGATGTATTCTTCTAGTAAGGAAGGTTTTCTGTCGGCCACACTGAAACAGTCACATGTTTGAAGTAGTCATTCAAGTTGAATGCTTACTTGAAGGCAAATAGGCAATGTTACTGAGTTCCACTCTTGAAATGCATTCTTATGCTTGGTCGGCTAGCTTCTATTTTTTCCTTATGAATTATTTGGTTGACTACTGACTAAGGACCACTCTTCTTAACTCTCTTACTTAGCATGAATTTAATAACATGTACCATTTTCTGTCTCTGTAACTAACACGTTTCTTTGCTCAACCTTTGTCCTAATTTTAAGATGCTGTACTTAGGAAGAGATGGCTGCCATTTCAGAGAAAAACTTGGCTGGGACGGGTGTACCAGCATGGATTATTGATGTGGTGCACCCATCCAATTGCATTATGCCATGTGTCCTTTTAAGTCAAGTATTTATCTCTAATAAAATTAAAATGAAAATCCTTAGTTTTTTGCGTTCCAGGAAACTTCCCTTTTATTGTTTTTTTCCTTTTATGGATGTTCCCCCTTTCCGTCAAGAAAAGGAACAGAGTAGATGGAGATTAAGATGCTGCTCGATGTCCGCTTCTTCTTTCCCAGTTGCGATTCTAACTTCAGAGTCCATCGTCACCAATAAAGGAACAATTTTCCACGTTGCTGGTACAAAACCTATATGGATTCAAGAAGTTGGTTCCGTCTCTCAACATCGATGACTCATTTCATCCACTTCTTCTTTCTCGCGCGGGTGCGATTCAAACATCAGAGTCGATCGTCACCGGTAAAGGAATTTTCCTCGCCGCCGGAGCAAAACCGATCTGGATTCGAGAATTCGATTTCTTCTCTCAACGTCGATGCGCCATTTCGTCCAATTTTCCTTTCGCAAGTGCCCCAACCAGTTTCGGCTTCTCCATCCACATAGTCGAACTCATCGGAGGCGACTGTAGCTCAGGTAATGAGTGATTGGTTGGTTAGAAATTGGCGCAAAATTCAAATTTGGGTAAAGAATTAGTCGCATGAATAATTAGGAGTTTGGTGTGTTTGGAGAATTTGGGAGTTCTACTTTTTATTTTGTTGAAGATGGATGTCCGAGGGATTTCACTTAGTTCAATTACAAGTTTACAACTAATACTCAAGTCTGGGGGATTTAACTAGGTATGCAGAATGTTGTTCTACGTGGCATATGATTCTGCTTAGTATTTTGGTATGTTTCAGGCGGCAAGCTGCGGCTAAGTGTTAAGGGAGGACAGATGAATGGTTCTGCTTATGTTTGTAGTTGTTGTTGTTACAGGACATGTAAATAAAGATGATAATGTTGCTTTTGTTCTCAACAGATGTTGTTTCAGGCGGCAAGCATACTAGAGATGGCTCTCAATGCTACTGTCGTTGTTGTTGTTATAGGGCATGTACATAGAAGAGATACAGTATGCTATGTAGCTCATTTTTCACGTGTTGAATGATGATATAAGTAATAGAAGGATTTGATTTTGGAATCCAACTGGTGGGGCTTTGGCATGCAGAGTATTGACTATTGAGTAATGAGTTATGCTTGTTGAATGATAATGTAACAGTCTCATTTTACAACATGTCTTAGCTCCTGTATGATCAATAAATAATAGAAACTGAACATAAAAGGTCCATTAAAGTTGTCGACCCACAGACAATTAGTTAACCGATTCTTTTGATCAACTTGCACTGCATAAAAGAACATTGGGTCTTCTGCTTTTTCCTTTTTCAAATAATTCATCAGACTTTGAGCATCCCCTGCTTCAACTTTCACCATCTTTTGTCTATGCACATGATTAGAACAATCTTTCTGTAAAAATCCAACATTTTCATCTCCTCCGTGTTCTGTGGAAATATATGCATAAACATCTTTTGTGCTGAGTCCTGCATCCTTCATCGTATCAATTACACCTGCCTTTTCCTTTGAAATCTTTCGACCAGATTTCAGCAAGTGCCTCTCTGATGGTGAAGCAAGATCATGATTATGTGTGGGCTGGAAGTCAGTCACCTTCCACACACCATTCTCAATGCTGAAACGGATGAAAGCTTTGCACCCTATTCATGTTTCCAACCTATTGACCTTTTTCACTTCAAGTGGATTATCATCATCCGTGATGCCTTCCTTGGAACATAGAAACTCACGTTGCCTAATTTTTCCTGTTTTACCTGAATACCTGTATCTACTTCGGCGCACACTGAAACCAAGTCGTAAAGCATAGTTATTGTAGAGAGCATAAGCTTCATCTTCATTAGACACTGTTTTCCCATATAGATTATCATCATCACTATCCGCCACCCGATTAGGAAATAGTGGAATCTCATTCTCTTTAGCCGTCATGAAAAATCTGTAAAAAAGGAACAAAAGGCATATATACAGCGCCAGCAATTGAGGGGAAAGAGATGCAAACAAAAGCGAACCAGAAATTCCAAAAGGATATCCAATTCCAAGTCAAATCATGCATCCATATACTAGAGTTATCGTTAAGCTAAGGACACCCAATTCCATATCAAATTATGCCTCCATAGTACAGTACCATGCAATAAGGAATAAAATCAACAGCAACAAAAAAAAAAGCCAAGCACATGAACCAACTAAGAAGATAACGAACCAAATTGGTAAGAGCTGTGTACCTGGTACTGGAATCAGGATCGCGATGGGAGAATGATGGATTTATCGGCTTGTAGGCTGGGAACTCCACGGCTGAGAACTCACTTTTTCATTTTAGGCGATTTTTTTTTTCTTTCCTAGGGTTGTGATTCCACTCTTTAGTTTTACCCGGGTGTGTTTACTTAATAAATTATTAATTAACTAAAAGGGAAAAGTACAATAAAAAAACATTAAAAAGGAAAGAGAAAGTGAAGTCTTCTCACTTCTGTACGCATTAAAGTTCTACAAAAAAATTTTACATTTAAAGTTTTAATTCTAAATTCATATTACTTAAAAGGACACATGGCATAATGCAATTGGATGGGTGCACCACATCAATAATCTATGCTGGTACACCCGTCCCAGCCAAGTTTTTCTCGCCATTTCACATTCCCTATATTTATTACCACAATGGTGCTTATGACGGTTGGATGGCCGAAGCACCCGGGTACAATAGTCATTTGTCCTCAATCGTTCATCGTTTGAACAACTACATTCTTCATTGTAAAAGGGTTTTGTCGGGTGTTTTTTTAATGATTTCAGAATGTAGTAAAAATCCTTGAATCATGAACGAATCGGGGGGAAAAAACAACCCTAAGTTTATTTCTTTTGGCAGTATTTGGGTTCGTTACATTTTGTCTTCGTGAATTGAATTTGGTCTTGGTCGCCATAAGTGAATTGCCTTCTGCTGCTGTTCTGATCTTCTTGTTACGTAAAAGAAACTTCTTTTACTTTGGATGAATACTCCATTTATTCAAATCGAGTCCCGTGTATCACACGATTTCCTTAAAACAAATTCGCCTTACCCTCAGGTAATTTATTGGCATCCGTCTCCCAGGATAAAACGATTTTTATTAGCAGTTATAATTAAATAACCACTTAATTCGAAGCTTCAAAGCCCGAAACTTTCACCGGCCAACTTAGAAAAGCTTAAGAGCTTGAGGGAGAGAGAGAAGGCAAAGGAAGAGGTTTATTCATGATGGGGGAAGGCTATATTTATAGCCTTTGGAACCCATGGGTTTCTCCCAAAACAATCAATGTGGTACTAAATGATGAAGTTCATACTTATATATTTAGCAAATTATATCAGGTATTGACCTTAATAAATTCTCAGGAAAGAAAGGATTGGGCGTAATTACATACAATTACGTAGAGTAGCCTCTTATATCCTGACTCCTCGGCAGAATTTAGCAAAAGTGAATTCCCATGTTAGGTTTCGATTAAAAACCACTAAGCGAGCACCACGAAGGTCTCGATTAGCAACCACTAGCCGTAGCCAAAAATTCACTTAATCATTTTTCCCAAAGTTCTGCTCAACACAAAGTTAATCTTTTCTGGTTTGGAAGATCAAACTCAGCTGCATCCAAAGAGCATAATAGATTAACTTCGAATCTGTTTTAAAATTGTAGCAGACTACGTAAAAGAAACTTCTTTTACTTTGGGCGAATACTCCACGCATTCAAATCGATATTCGGTTTCCTTAAAACAGATTCGCCTTATCCTCAGGTAATTTACTGCATCTGTCTCCCAGGATAATACAATTTTTACTACTTCAAACCTTCAAGGCCCGAAACTTTCACCAGCCAACTTAGAAAAGCTTAAGAGGCTTGAGGGAGAGAGCAAGAAGGCAAAGAAGAAGGATTGCCTTGCAATGTTTATTCCAGAAGGGGGAAGGCTATATTTATAGCCTTTGGAACCCATGGGTTTCTCCCAAAACAATCAATGTGGTACATTTGCCACTTTCATGTTTTTTGTACCAATTTTGAGCATCAATTTCTCATTCATCCCTTAGCCATTTTGAGCATATGGATACTAGATTTTGATCTCCGTGCACTAGAGAACACAAATCCGTAAAGAACCAACACTATCGAGTAGTGCGTCTTACTTAAAATGAGGCTCAAAACCCTATGAAAAACCACATATTTTCCAACAATTAGGCCATACAAAACTGGGGGAGCGGGATTTTGGATGGAAAGGGGAAGGGTCGAGGATGTAATTTGTGTAAGAATACATGTGAGCTAAGTTGTAAATCCATTTGTTTCTTCTTTCTTGCTTTTACGAGGTTATTATTAGACTTGGTATTGATTTATATGGTCTCTCTGTCTTTGTGCTTGCTGTTTTCCTTTTGCGGTAATGATGGGTGATGACTATCAGCTTTTTTAAGACAATGACAACTAAATGTTGCAGTTATGGAAGAGGACACGAAAGGTATTGCCAGACTTAACTGTTTGGTAACGGGGGATTTGATGAGAATCAAGACTTGGATCCTGCAATAGAAGCCATGGTTTTGGGACTCCGAGTCCTCTTTTTAAAATATAAAAATATAATTAATATAAATAAAGAATTAATCGACTAATACAATTGATGTTTGCATAAACAACTATGACGAATTTTCATTAGCAAACTGATCACAAATTCGACTTCGAAACTTGATATTAGTATAGTTCAAGCTAAAAATGTTATTTCTACACTTACAGTTGCAACAGGTAGAATCAAAACTAGTTTCAGAAGCAAATAAACTGACGGATATGACTTACGTACTTTTGTCTTCATCATTATTTGAGATAATTCATCAATTTCTTTCAATTAATGAAATCTCATAACATCATGATAATACCCAACAAGCTATTATCAAATAATTATTATGAATGGAAGAAATAAATTAACTATTTTTATCAATTATTAAACAAGTAATGAACTGCGATGTAGTAATAAAATATCGTTAATTATATTACGTGTAGATTTTGCGTACATATATATATAGGGTATTTTTTACCAGCCAAATATTACCCCTGTCCCGGGACAAGGGCAATATAGGCTGGCTCCGCCTATGGAGCCTATGAAGCATTGAGCTACTTGTTACCTCAGTATCTATCTGTCAATTAATTTGCCAAACATATACATGTGCAGTGCAGCAGGGTTCATACCTCCACTCCAATAATAACTCCATCGTCAGTTACTCAGTTTCCACTAAGCGACCTGTGCACAGCCTTACGAGTATACCAACCATGCAATGCAAGTACTAAATGATGAAGTTCATAGACTTCCATGCATATATATGTCGTGGAATGGGATGGCGCCATAGATTAGGCATAGCTAACAAACTAAGACAAGAAAATAGCTAACTGGGAAATAATAATTAAGAACAAAAAACCAATAACACTATCTAACTGGGATTAATTCCTGGCTGTGGCTGGCTTCATGAAAAAATATGCGTCACTTAGTAGTAGTGTAGTACCCTAACTTTCTCCAGCAAAGGTACAAAGATGTCCCTTTCCTTTCCTGCTCCGGCCTAATCTCATGATATCGCGTTCGCTTCCGCGCTCTAAAAACGAAGCGCTCCTTCCAATTCCAATCCGCATCCGCTACATCACGACAACGACGACGGAGGAGTGTCAGTGGCGACACCTCCCGGTCGTCAAACTCCTCCTCAGAGAATTTGGCCGCCCACAGCTGGTAATCGCGGGAGGAGGACAGGCCCCGGAGGCCAGAGCACACGCATTCCATCATCGCCAGCGTTGTACCGGGCACCTTCGCCATGATTGTGAACTTGAGTTCGTCCGGCAGGGTGGAGAAGGAGTTGGGCCCGGTCAATCCGGCCTCCTCCGAGATATCGATCAGCAGCGGGAAACACATCGCATCCTTGATCCTCCGGCGAAATTCAGAGACGCCCCCGCAATCCAGTGCTTTCGCGAGTTCGCCGCTCTTGTTCAAGGACAGCAGATTGTTGGAGGAATCTCTTCCGACCAGATGACCGCGACATGTCAGGAGGTTTCCTCCGGCCTGGAACTCGACCTGTACCAACGGCGGCGGCGGATGGATCCCGTCATCGTTATTAATAGCAAGGAGGGGAGGCAGAGTATAGTAATAGGAGGTGGAATTGTCAACAGAATCGTTGGGGGGAATTGTCAATTGGAGCTTCGGTGTGTAACGGACGAATCCCGATTCGAGGAACGTGGCGTGGATTTCAGAGACCAAGAGCTCAGTCGCTTTGCTCTCTGAACATCTCACCCAAACCTCCATGATTCTCTTTTCTCTGCAAGGGGGAAAACAGAGAGCCTTTCTTCTCTTATAGAGACAGAGTGGTTGACAACCTTATTAAGGAGACCGGATCCTAGACGGTGTTGGTCTGTAGCAATTTTGTGAAAAAAATAATGAAATAGAAAATAAGAGTAGGGGAAAAATTTCTACATACAGATTTGGCCAACAGCGACGAGCAAGAAGCAACTGCCGATATTTTAAAGTGCATTCCTCGGCCTCCTCTCGAGATCAGCAGCAGCAGCCGCCATCAAAACCTAATTTCTAGACTGAACACGGGAACAATTTTTGCAGCCAAGCCAAGCCGAGCCAAGCCAAGCCAAGCAAACTTTGATGTGAAATAGTGAAATCATAGCTTTCAGTTGTTCATATAGTTGAAGCTCACCCCGGGTTATAGGTCTCGTGGCCGATGTGGTAGTATTTCGGCATCTCTCTGTCTTTGGCTAAAAGCCGCCACCATATGGATCTTAGTGGGTTGGACTTTGTTGGTGGTGGCGTGGCGTTGTTCTCCTTTGCGTTGTGTTTTGGGTTTTGGTGGGTTGGACTTTGTTGTCCATGTGGCTTTCGTAGGGGGTTTTTTTGTGGTTGTTTGTTGTCTTCCTTTTTCTTGATTTGGTGGGGTGTTCTTTGTTGGGTTCTTGGATTGTGTTGGGATTTCTGGTTGGTTTTTCTTGGGTGTTCTCTCCGTAGGTTCGTTCCTTTTTGTGAGCTTTCAGCCCTTTGTTGTGCTCTCCTCTGTTTTATCATGTTTTGTTCTGCCAGCGGTTTCATTGGCCTTGCTTCAATTTTGAGTAGTATGGTTTCAGTCCTGTCCACCGCCATGTAATCTCAATTTGTGATTCACTGTGATGGGTCGTCTTCGAACAACTCCCAGGAGGCGGCATATGGTGTTGCTATGTTCAATTGCCATGGTCAAGTCTGATTTGGATGAGCTGAAGTTTGCTTCTTGCCACTCGGATGAATGAGATTGCAAAGAGTGTTTGGATACTCTGGGATTTGGCTCATGAAAGAGATCTTCATTGCTTCGTTTGATCATGTTGTAATTTTTGCTTTTGTCTTTGAGGTTGTCCCTCTGGTTTCCAGATCTCATGATGTTTCTCCCTCTTTGTAACCGAATTTTTCTTAAGTGCAATTTAAGCTACCTCTTTGTCAAAAAAAATAAAAAATATATGGATCTTAGTTATCTAGATCTTAAAGCCTAACCCCCAAGATTGGACATGTAACTTGATCTTAATGACAATGCTCTTGGCCAACGGTGGCGAATCCGCGGCCCGAAGGCAGCACGGGTTTCCACTTGTTGGTCGATTTTGCAGCAATGTCACAACTCCGCACCTTAGACATTTTAGGTCTCCACCAGCATATGCATATACACTGCGGCGGAGGCAGAGCTATTGGTAAACCGGCCTAAGTTTTTGAATTTATCGCCCTAAACTTACATACATGGACAAGTTTACCCCTCATTTAACCTAAACCCTAAATTGATTCACCCTGCCGTCACTTACCCTGTTCTCCCTCCCCAAATACTCAAAATCTCAACCCCTCACCCAGACCCGCCGCCAGCATCGCCCTCACCCAGCAGCGCTTCGGCTCCGCCACCCTAAGCTGCCGCCATCCAGACCCAACCCCTCACCCAGACCCGCTGCCAGCATCGCCCTCACCCAGCAGCGCTTCGGCTCCGCCACCCTAAGCTTTCCGCGGAGGAATATCCTGTAAAATATCGACGATAATTTAAAGGAGACACTTTATTTAACATGGTTCTTCCTCACGTTGTGTGAGGCTTACGTCCACGGAGAGAGTCCTTCTTCTTCTCCGTCTCCACCATTTTTTCAGATTCGCCATTTTCGTCTACAAATTCGTCAGTTTCGTCGGCGTTCTTTCTCGTCCGGCGGTTTCCATCGATAGTCGCTCTCTGTTTCAGCGGCTCCGTCGGCGGTTGTTGAGTTTCATCCAGCGGTTTCCATTTTTCCCCTTTGCGTCGAGTAGCGTCGGCGGTCTTCCTCGTCCGGCGGTTTCCATCGAGAGTCACTCACTCTCTGTTTCAGCGGCTCCGACGGCGGTTGCTGAGTTTCAGCCGACATTTTTCATTTTTCCCCTTTGCGTCGGCGGTGTGTCGGGCTCAACTCGACAAGCTTTCTTCTCGCTTCTCCGTCTGCGCCGACGCCGTCGATTCTTTGTGAAGACGAAGACCGCTTTTGGAGTAAGTCAAAACCGCACTTCTTATTTCGGCAATTCTTTAAAACCCTAACCGGTTTTGATGCTAGGTCAGAATCACATTTGTAATTGTGGGTTGATTTCTGGGTTTGTATTGTTTGAATGGGCCGGTTGGTTGTATACTTTCTGGGTTTCCTTGTATTGATTGTTTAGTAATGTTTGTGTGTTTTCATACCTCTGTTTGTACTCTTCATGGTTCATACAGTTTGTGCACTTTGTTTCTCATGTTCATACAGTTTGTACACTTTGTTTCTCATGTTCATATAGTTTGTACACTTTGTGCGGTTTGTTTCTCATGTTCATACAGTTTGTACACTTTGTTTCTCATGTTCATACAGTTTGTACACTTTGTGCGGTTTGTACAGTTTATTACTCTGCTTCGTATGGTTTGTTGCATTTGTTGGTTGACTTGTTTTGTTGTTGTTTTTTTGTAGCTGTTAAGTAAGGATGGTAGAAGGTTCAGAGGTGGGAGGGTCAAGTACCCATGTTGCTGAAGCTGAAGTTAGTAAAACCAAGAGGAAGGGGGAGAACCTTAAGAATAAGGGGAAGGAAGTTCAGCTTTCTGATACAGGGAGAAGGAAAAGAAAGGTTGTTGCTGGAGAGAAGCAGAAGGCAGCAGTTCGTGCAAAAAGGCAGAAGCGAGCTCCGGGGGGAGGGAATGAAGCTGCTTTGAACTATCGATGCAGCCCGAAAGATGGAATAGGGAACCAATAGTGTTTTTTTTTTGGTAATCCATGTCAGTATGCACTAGAACTATTTTCTATTCTCATGTTTTGTGCACAACCCATGATAAGTGCGCGGCAATGCTGTCCTCATACCAGCAGCAATTGCTGCCGCTTGATCGGTAAAAACAGCTCTCGGTTTCTTCCCGTTCATGCAAATGAGAAATTGTATGAAGAGCCAATCAAATGTGGCTGATGTCTCATCATAGAGTAGGGCAGCACCAAAAACACATGTTTCTCTATAGTTATTGAAGCCCACAAATAAAGCTGAAATGAAAATTTTGTTTGAAATTAGTAATGAGGTTTAACAAAACTGACATATTGCAAAAACATACTAAGAATACAAACTGTCAAAGAAAAACATACTAAGAGTACAAACTGTAACAGAAAAACATACTAAGAATACAAACAGCAACAGAAAACATACTAAGAATACAAACTGTCAAAGAAAAACATACTAAGAGTACAAACTGTAACAGAAAAACATACTAAGAATACAAACAGCAACAGAAAACATACTAAGAATACAAACTGTCAAAGAAAACATACAAAGAAGACAAACAGCAACAGAATCATGACAAATATGGAAGAAAATCATTACAAACATACGGTTTGTTATTGCTTGTTCTCTTAACCTCTCCTGTTTTTCTAACAGAAAATCCCTTATCATGTGCATAGCATTTGTACCACAGCAATCCATGATCTTTTGTGTCAAAGCGAAGGTTCATCCACGTTTTTTCATTGCTTGGTATTATTTTGATATCATCATCTGCAGAAACAACCAGTTTACAATATAAGAACAACCACATTACAAAGTAACAGAACAGAGCAGAAAAACATACTAAGAATACAAACTGTCAAAGAAAAATATACTAAGAATACAAACTATAACAGAAAAACATACTAAGAATACAAACAGCAACAGAAAACCATACTAAGAGTACAAACTGTTAAAGAAAACCATACTAAAATTACAAACTGTAACAGAAAAACATACTAAGAACACAAACAGCAACAGATGGCACAACAATACTAACATTACAAACATAATTAAACCATACAAACTGATGCACTAAAGCTATAAAGCCATACGGTATTTCGTACAAACTGCATAAACCATACGTTTGTACTGTTTGCACTGTTTGTACAAACATAACAATCATCATATATGAAGACTTACAATACAAAATGTATTGAACAGAGCAGAAAAACATACCAAGTATACAAACATCCAAAGAAAAACATACTAAGAATACAAAATGTAACCAGAATCATTACAAACATCAGACAAGATTTCATACCGATTTCACGTTGTACTGTTGTTTCCTGAATATCTACATCCATTGTTGTTTCAGTTCCAGTTTCTCCCGTTTTTTGTTCATTATCTCCATCAACCACTTCATCCATTGTTATAGGAGCAGAATCCATCATGTAAAGAAAAACGCCTCGCCGTTGGCTGGAAAAACGCGTTCGCCGTTGGCTGGAGGAGAGTGCAACTCGCCGTCGTCGATCGCAGGAGGAAAATTGCCTCGCCAATCGCCAGAAATCGCCTCGCCGCCAATCGCCGGAATCTCCTTTGCCTATCGCTGGAATCGCCTCGCCGATCGCGGGAGGAAAATCGCCTCGCCAACCGCCAGAATCGCCTCGCCGCCAATCGCCGGAATCTCCTTCGCCTATCGCTGGAATCGCCTCGCCGATCGCGGGAGGAAAATTGCTCCGCCGATCGCCGAAATCGCCTTTGCTCGCTGGAGGAGTTTGGACGCCGAGAATCTCCCTCGCCGTTCGCGGGAGGAAAAGCTTCGGGAGATTTTTTTCCCCTTCCCAGAATAAAAAGGAAAACCAATTAATGAATTTTTTTTATGCCAGAATTGCCCCTCCCAGTATTTAAAAATCCCTTCCCTAATTTTCACCGTTAGATTGATCCTTCTACATCCAATGGCTAGAAGGGGCTTAGCCAAGTGACTAAGCACCCCCTTAGTCACCAGATCCGGACTCCGTGAAAGCTTCCGCCGCTCCTAATTCTCCGGAGCAAATATTTCGTTTGTCCCCCAAAACAAAGATCTGCATCATTATGTTTACAACAACATTGAAAGTAACCATTCATAGTCGTTATTAAAATAACTCATGACAAAAATCTAATGGTGATGATTGGAGATTTTGGGGAAGCAGCATTGGTTAGTTGGTCATCCATCATTTGAAAGTGCAAGCAGCTAATGGTACAAATCAAACCCGCCTCAACCTTATGTAAATGTTCAGGGTGACTCTGCTTCTAGTTCATCACTCCCCAGCTCACCGATGAAACCTTTGCCAGCCCTCGTGCGTCGGCTCAATCGTCCCTCTCCCTGAAACCTCCCTGTCTTCTCTGGAGCTTTAGCAGATGGGCTGGTAGTCGGCATAACTTGCTTGAAGCTTGCATCCTCGTTAAACTCAAACCTTTCATATGCTTCTTCATTCTCGTAGCCAATCACTTCTTCTACATCCGGTGAAGACCCTATCGAGGGTGTCCAATGATCTGAGGCTGCTTCCAAATGCTGACTGCTTAGCTCCGTGTTTGCTGTTATTCTCGCTCTGTCCATTGCATCATCTAACATATCTGCAGTGACCACTCGGGAGGATTCATCTGAAGAACTTTGCCCATCATCGTTGATTGGTTCACTGATTAGCTCGGTATGACTTTCCTGCAGCTCGTCCATTACAACACCAGGAATTTCCTGATCAAGAAGAGAAGATGCTTGTTCGATTTCCACTAGCCGTTTGATTGCTTCGCTTGCTGCATTTATGGCCCATCTATCACCGTCACCAGCAGCTTCTCTACAGAAAAGATATAGCAAGAGAATTTCTTTTCAAAGACATTGTATTCCAAGCATTGCTGCTATTTTGTGTCGACGCAGTAGACAAGTACGTGACTTTTTTATTTTTATACCATACTCCGTCTAATTAAGGCATTGTGGGAGGCCTTGAAATTTTGAGAACTCTCGGAACCTTAAGTAAGAATACTGGAACTTGATGACAGGAGAACTATTAATTGACGAGCACGTGAAAATAAAATTTATACCTGTCAGGATCGAGCCCAACTGAGACGAATGCAGCTTCCAACAGAGCAACAGGTGCTGAAGGGTTCTCAGAGAAGTATCCTCCAAGCTTTGTGATCTCCCTTAGAAAATGCATGTCAAGAACAAACTGTTCCATGAACATTGGCCGTCAGTTTAGCAAACTCCAAATCTTAGGTAAATTTATGATTGCTGGCCAAACTTTTGTTTTGTATATATAGATTTCATAAGAAACTTCATATGTGAAATCGGTTTTAAGAAAAAGAGATGTTAGCAGAACAATATTTAAGATCACTCAACAAGAAAACCTGGTAGAGGAAATGTAGTGAAGCATAAACAATAAGGATATACCTGTTTCAAACCTTCAGAACTAGTTGAAACTTGTTCGTCCATCTCCCAAATCTTTTTGTTCTTTGAAATCCAGACAAATACGGCATCAATGAGCTCACTTATTAAATCCATCACCCAACTGGATTCAAAGACTTGGTCTTCAGCAAGTTTTTCTAATTTCTTGAGTTCTAAGAACAGCCCCTGGAAACAAGCCAAAAATGGAAAACGTCATTGGGAAACTTCATAAACTTCATCATTCATCATTCCAGTCATAATGGCTGAGAGTGGTCGCCTGGCGATTTTAATCAGAGAAATGACAAATTGAGAAGAAAAGCAAGTATAAGGAAGAAAACAAACCAGAAAAGAATATATACAACGAAACATGCACGCAGCACAATCTGAAGGAGAAAAGGAACAAACAACAAATCTCTTCACACTAAGTGGGAATGAAGAGAAGATAATTTTAGAGCGGTCTTGTCCCAGGAGACAAATGGGATTATTGTGCACTATACTTATTGAATCAATCCAATTATATGTAGATTCTAATATTATTGTGCAGTGTGCACTATACTTTCAGAAAGGTTCCATGAATTCCAAGAAGATAACATACCTGAAAGGCAGGAGAGGGCATGACACCATCAACCCAGCCAGGATCATCCTTACTAGCACTATATCTTTCGAGGATCAGCTTCGACTCAGTTTCCAGTGACATTAGTCTGTGAACATATTGCTCACAGAAAAAGGACCTGAGCCTACCAGATGCCTCTTGGATGAATAACACGCACTCTTCGAGTTGCTGCTGTTGTAAACCCATAGGCTGGTTGCTCATTAGCTCAGAATTGATACGATTTATGCCCCCAAAAATACTGGTCATGGTGCTAGAGTAGAAATGTTCAAGTGTGGACAGATTTGCCAGAATTGAAACTTGTTGTGGTAGTGATTCAGCACAAATAAACTCTGAATCACTTTTCTCAGGGGAGTAAATGTCATGTGTCATAGCTGTTTCAAGGATAGACATGTACTCCATGAAAAGATTCATAAGCCCTCTGAGAATGGAACCTTCCATTCGGAGAGCAACCAAAGGAACAGCATCTTCAGTCATAGCCTAAAAGGAATAAGAAAAAAGTTCACCTTCAGATATGACAACAAAAAAGTATGTTTCAGCACTTCAGCTCCCTTATTCTATCTCCAGACTAACAGATAATAGCAAGAGGAATCCATATTTATATTTCATGAAAATAAAGGCACGGAAAACTAACAAGAGGGCCTTTATTGTGTCGGAATTCATTAAATAAGCTTCCACTAAATATTTGGTTTTGTGTCCGAACCAGGTCCAAGAGAAATGAAAAACAAGACAAAGAAGAACAGGATTTATACTGGAAAAGCCCATTGCTACCCTTTTAATTGTGTCTGACATTCTTTATGAAAAGAAAATGCATGTAACGGAACAACTCTCCAAGGATATTTTGACAAGGGCATATGTAAATTGAAGTTATCTACAAAGAAATTGAATTTGGATGCTTTGATAACCACATGTTCATACAGCTAACTTAACCAATTATATATTTGCTTGATTCATTAAGGTCTAAATACCGAAAAGAGGAAATGCACTAACCTGCAACAAAGTTACAAACTTCCGCCCACTATTGGTGAGTAAGCAGTATTCTGATTCTTCCCCAAATACCATAGAAGAGTAGTTTTCATTCAGGATTCCAGATATGAGATACCTACTTAAAACCCAAGAATCCGTTGCTGTAAAGATGCCAATGACCTTCTTGAAATGGTCTATGTGCACCTCTAGAACTTCTTCCACACAGGGTCGAATAAGCTTGATCAGGTAAGGCTGCAATGTCAATCCCTGAGACTCCAAGAGTGAACAATATGTCAGAGCGAATTGGACAGCTTCTACAGCTGTCGACAGTCCACAGCTAACATCTGAGATCGATTTTGCATATCTAGTAAAAGAACTAACAAATACTTGAGCTTCTTCACGTGCCCACTGAACCAGTTCAGAATCATAACTGGATTTTTTCCCATGAAGCATGACAAAGCTCCTTGCTGCTTGGGATATCATGGCAAATACAAGTTTAGAGAGGTCTCTGCCATACATTCCAACTAAAAATGACTCTGAATTCTCCAATTCATCTATTCCTGCCACAATGCGAGAATGGTAATATTTTAGCAACAACTGAGTTGCGAGGCTGCTGTCACCCAGTTTGCAGAGTCCAGAAAGTGCTTTCTGAAGTTCTGGAGCAGCTATTCTTGAATTTTCAGCAATCAAAGTCAATTGCAATGTAAGCATGTCCTTTCTTTCCGAAAGAACGGCAGAATATGACTTTAGTACATCTGCTGATATATCACCTTTGCGCTGCACCCTGCGCAAATTATCTTCCTCCTTTTCAAGATAAGCTATGGATTCATCTGCCCTGTTTTCCGCAAGAAGTACATCCAGCATGTCTGCCACATCATTTATGTGATCCTCAAGCATACTTACAGGAGGCGGTTCTTCAAGCTCGTTTTCTACTGCTAGTTCAGGTAGGTCTGTCAAGGTCTTCAGATAGATACCATTGATCAGGTTGTTAACAAGCTTCTTTTGAATCAAAACTTGATTCTTCAGTTGCATCAGCTCCTTCTCAATGTCCTTTACCTCCTCAAATATTCTGCCAACATGCATGAGAAAGCATTATTGGAACATGATTATAAGCGATCACAACACCATTTAATTGATAGTGACCAAAACAAGCCGACGCCCATTCAATGAGCTGAAAACATCTGAAACTAAGCCACAGATAACACTGGATAATATATCTTGGCCAAACACAGTAACAAGACTAGCAGGGCGACCCTATTAATAGGACTACGACAAGGGAGCTCGTAACACACAGCGATAATGTGCTGCAACTATTGATCAAGAACAATACCCATAAAGCTAACAAAGAAATGGCTGCAAAGGGAAGGATCGATTAAGAAAATTACCCAAGGAAGGAAGAATAATTCGAGAAGATATTCTTATGAAAATCTTCATCTGATGCTGCTTTTATCTCCAGCAATTCCATGCAGAGACGCTTGATCCCCTAGAAAAAGAAGAAGGGGGGAAAACAAGCAGAAAACCCACTTTCCAATTAGGTATCCCCATTGAATTTCTCCACCGCAAAGCGAGAGAGGAAAGAATATTGACCTTGGCAGTCATGGAATCGAGCTGGGTTTCCTCATCCTCCTTAACGGCGGACTCGGAAGAAATCTCGGTGTCTGTGTCGGACTCGCTGACGTTCTCCGACTGCGGATGGTCTCTGAACCTGAACCTAGCGGCGAGGGAGGTGGAGGAGGATTCCATGGCGATCGGAACTGACAGTCCATGGAACGAAGGCGGAGGAATCCTTTCATAGAGAAGAAGAGAGGAGGGCGAAGGACTCCGCGTAAGGCCGTTGTTTGGCGTTCTCTCTCGTCGTTTTCTGCCATTTGAGACTTTCGACGTCTCGACTTGACGCGGGAGGCGCCAGTCGGCATCTCTCTATCTCGTTTCTTCCGCTGTACAAATGGAGACAAAAGGCAGCGAGCGCTTCTTTGTCTTCAGTCCTCACTCGCTTCTCGCTTATGCCCTGCCCGGCATAATTTTATTTTCTCAACTAGCTTGTACCGGCTACTTGGCCGGAATATTTAAATTTATTGTTTGATCATAAACTATAGGGTGATGACTGGTGTATGTCAGGCGTATACTATACGTCAGGTGATCTAGCCGTTAGATGTACTTAGATGAGCTCCGGCCGATCTCAACGGTCAATTTTTGTTTTTCATTAAATCAAACTTCGGGTTGGAGTTTACAAAATCGGGGCCTGGGGTTTATCCATTAGAGGTTAGGGTATAGTATCATTCCCCAATCTCGATTTAATTCATGGTCTAGATAGAGCTATCTCACTAGTAGTACATGACGTATAGTATACGCCTAACGTACACCAGTCTGACCCTAAACTATAGTAATGAAGGTTTATGTCATGAATTGATAGATTTTTTTTTTTTGCATTGCAGGGAGGCCAAAGCCAAGAAAACAGAATCAGTTACAGGGGAGGATTAGATAGAGGAGGAAGAGCTTGCCACCACGTGGCGCTCAAAAGTAACACCTAACACATCGTCCCGCAGGAGAGGCACGACCCCAGGAGGTGGGTCCGTCAACTCATGCATCCCGTAGGGATAGACGAGACTGTGCTTCGAGAGCCAGTCCGCGACTCTATTCCCTTCTCGGTATGTATGAGCAAGACTGACCAACCAATCCTGGCTTATCTTACGCCGAATAAGTCCCAACAACGTAGCATAAGGATGAACGGGGTCCTGACGATTCTTGATCAGCTGCACGGCCAACTGGGAGTCCGAGGCCACTCTCACAACGCGGTAGCCGAGCCTCCAAGTCATTTCAAGCCCATAGTAAATCGCCCACAGCTCCGCAAGGCATGCTGTTGCTGAGCCGATATTGGCAACAAAGCCACCTGCCCAATTTCCAAGCGTATCCCGCACCACTCCGCCTGCGCCAGCCATCCCGGGATTGCCGTTGGAAGCCCCATCCACATTCAACATGACCCATCCCTCTGAAGGAGGCTCCCATCCCACATTGGCAACAACACGAGCTGCTTTCGTCCTCCTGTGATCAAGTAGCAAAGAAGGAGTATGCCAAGAATCGTTCCAAAGCTTACTCTTAATTATGATAGAGTGCATGAGGGAGGGGGCGGTCAAGGCTGCACCAATTCCTTTAAAGGAAGCCACAGTCCGATTCTTCCACAGTAACCAGATAGCCACACTAAAAAAAACCGGCCAGCCAATACCCGAAGCCGTGGAGTCCTTGCTCAGGATATTACTGCGTAACCAGACATCTTGGGTTGAGGCGAAGAAATCATACTGCTTCTGCTGCGGCACCACTCGAGACCAAAAATAGCTAGCCGGTGCACAGTCCCTCAGGATGTGGATGATCGTCTCTGGCCGACCATCGCATCGAAGGCAACAAGGAGACGCAGCAACCTTCCTGTGATGCCTCAAGGCATTGGTAGCGATCCTGTCATGCATCACCATCCAAACAAAACCTCTAACTCGCTCAGGAACCGCTAGTCTCCATATAGTTTTCCAAATGGAGTCCTCCGCCTGAGAACCCTCCCTCGCCAGCAGGGCATACGCCGACTTGGCAGAGAACCGGCCATCCGCTGACTCTGCCCAGAAGAGAACATCATCCTCCTGTGAGAGTTTGTCCACCGCGGTGCTCAAAATCTTGCTGCAGATTTCCGGGGGCAGCAGAGTGAGGAAATGATCTGTATTCCAGCTGCCGTCATCACGAACGAAATCAGCAACTGTCGCCTCTTCCAAAGCCTCCGGAATATCACCAATGGCCTCCTCCTTCAACGGGCCCTGCAAAATCCACGGATCCAACCAAAATTTAGTATGCCTTCCATTCTTAATATTCCACGCACAACCTCTTTTAAAGAGATCAGCAGCTTTGGAAAGACTGCTCCAGGTGAAGGAACATCCCTGTCGTTTGCGGAGAACATCTAAGCCTTGACGCTGCCCTCCGTACTTAGAGTAAAGGAGTTGGGACCAGAGGTTCTCCTTTTCCTGCAGCAGGCGCCAGCAACCTTTTGCAAGCATGGCAATATTTGCTTGCCGAGTGGGCCTAAGCCCTGCCCCACCCTGCTCTTTAGGCTTGCAAAGCGTCTCCCAGGCTAGAAGGTGTATCTTGGCCTTGTCCTCTTCATCACCCCAAATAAAGTCCCGGCTAATCTTGTCAATGCTCCTGCACACACCACTTGGGATCAGTTCTGTATGCATATTGTAAACAGGTAAAGATGCAGTTACCGATTTAGCAACAGTTAGGCGGGCTGCAAAGGAGAGTCGTTTCGCTTTCCAAGGAGCCATCTTCCTTTGGATGCGCAGCAGCAGAGACTGGTACCGCCCTTTGGTGACTCTCTCATGAATAGCTTGGATCCCGAGATATCTCCCCAGCGCTGCCTTGAGGGGGATCCCTGCAAACCTGCTCAAAAGTTCTGCTTTCCGACGGGCAATATTGGGGGAGACATATAGAATCGATTTGCTATAGTTCACCCTTTGCCCTGAACTGTAACAGAAGTCAGCCAGGCAATCTTTCACAACACGAATCTGACGCCTCTCTGCTTCGGCAAAAAGCAGCAAATCATCTGCAAAAAAAAGATGAGTTAGTGGCGGCCCAGAGCTGGTTAGCCTAATAGCCTTCCACTGCCCATGACTAGCCGCCTCATCAATCCTGTGAGATAATCTTTCCATACATAAAACAAAAAGATAGGGAGAAAGAGGGTCTCCCTGTCTCACTCCTCGAGAAGGCGTGAAGGGCTGTGACAGCTTGCCATTCCACCGGATCCTCATTCTGTTATTCTCAACACAGTACATAATGCACCTGATCCAAGAACTAGGCAAACCGACTTCCATAAGGGTATCCCGAAGAAAATCCCATCTCAGCATATCATACGCTTTTTCCAGGTCAATTTTGAAAACCAGTCCTCCCTTCTTGCCCTTCCTCTTCCGAAGGGAATGCAGCACCTCTTGCACCACGATGATGTTATCCGTGGTTTGTCTGCCCGGGAGAAAGCTGCTCTGCCGAGGCGAGATCAGTTTCCTCATAAGAGGCTTGAGTCTACTGGTCATTGCCTTTGTGATGCTCTTGAGGCAAACATTGTTGAGGGAGATGGGCCTGAGCTGGGATGCTCGCTCTGGTGCCTCAACTTTAGGAATGAGGACTAGGGTCGACTCTGTAACTGCGTCAGGTAGCACGCCGTTCTCGAAGAATGAGACAGCCATATCTGCCAAGGATCTCCCCACCACTTTCCAGAAATGTTGATAAAAGGCTGCATGAAAGCCATCTGGTCCTGGAGCTTGGAGGGGTTTCATATCAAAGATAGCTTTGTGGATATCAAGGATAGTAAAAGGCCTGAACAGTTCCGTTGCCTCTCCATGACTCAATCTCGGAAAAGCGCTCTTTGGCATCCTGTCCTCATACTGCATATTCTCCTGGAAGTAGATGTTAGTGAAAAAAGAGAAAACCAGCATTGCCAAAGCTTGAGGATCCGAGACCCAGTTCCCATTCTCATCCTGGAGTGCCTCAATCTTATTGTAGCGCCTCCTGATATTGACCTGCTGATGAAAATACGCTGTGTTCCTCTCCCCAAATTTAACCCAGTTATCTCTAGACCGCTGGAACCAGATAAGTTCTTCTTGCTCCAAAACTTTGTCCAACTCGGTCTCTAACTTGGTATGAAGCTTTGCCAAACCCGGAGTGAAACAAGTGGCCAAACTGTGCTCGACCCCTTTAAGGCGAGCCAACAACCTGTTCTTCTTCCGCTTCACATTCCCGAAAGTGGTAGCATTCCATTCCATCAACTTGTTGGAGAGAGCAGCCAAGGCATCTTGGAGCGGGCAGGAAGGGTTCCACGACTCCGTCACAACCTCCTGCAGGCTGTCATTCGTGAGCCAGGCCGCTTCAAATTTGAACTGGCGAGGCAAAGACTGATGTCCCTGCTGGAGCTCCACGGTTGTCATAATTGGATTATGGTCTGAATGGAACCGAGGGAGGTGCACCACGGAAGTATTAGGATAGCTCGTGTTCCACCTAAGATTGCATAAACTCCTGTCCAAGCGGCTGGCTTTATAGGTATGCTGCTGATCGCCCCTTGACCAAGTGTACTTAGGACCCGAAAACCCGAGGTCAACCAACTCGGGTAGGTTCATACGATCATTAAACACTTGACATCTTCTCAGCGTGTTACTCTTAAGAGGACCCGACTTCTCCTCAGGTGAGCTGATGGCATTAAAATCACCTGTGAGTAACCAAGGAATATCAATATAATGGCTTTGGGCAACAAGACTATCCCATAACCGGCTTTGTTCACTCGTCCGGGGAGAGGCATACACCGCAGTTAACATCCAGGGGCTCCCCATAGATTGGGAAATCCGCAAAGAAATCTGTTGCGTGCAGGCAGAGAAGGTCATGAATTGATAGATAGTATTAATTAGTCACAATATTCATTTATTGAAATTCTTTAAAGTGAGTGAATTACCCTCCAAGGATTCGTGTACACTGGCGCAAAAATAGGCTACAAATGAGTCGAGTCGCTCTTAAATCCCGAAAACAAATATGTACGATTTCTAAGTGATAAATCTATTAACTGCTCTCCTTTTAGCCAATTTCCTTTTCTTCATCGTCTCTTTTTCTTTCTAGTCTCTCTCTCTCTCTCTCTCTCTGACTCTGTTCTCTACCCTCACGAATCGCTATCTCCGCATTCTCGTCGTCGTAGTCGTACTCAACCTCCCCCTCCCGCGCCGTCGTCGTCTGCATTGGCCTCATCGGCGCCTTTGCCTCCGCTGCCCTCACTAGTATCGTCATCGTTTGCATCTGCCTCCCCTATGTCGTCTACATTCGCCTTACCTACGTCATATGGACTATGGGTGAATTGAAGTTCTGTATTAGAGGCATTTAAGTGTGTTTAGAATTTCAGATATGGTATATGTCTCGTCTACTGTTTGGTGAGTTTTAGAGTATTATTGATTTTAAAATACTAGTAGTGTTTCATTAGACTTAGTAGTGTTCTATTGTAGTACTGTTTTTGTAAATTTTCGGATTGAAATATTTACATAGTGATCTCTAATTTTATATACAATAGCTTTGCTTTTCAGATCTACAATTGTAGTGTTTTTTATTGTTTGGGCATTTTTTTGGTAGCGTTCTCCAATTTCTGTATGACCTAGTAGTGTTTTTCAGATCTATCATTTGTAGTGATTCTGCAAGTAGTAGGGTTTTGTAGGTTGTAGTAGTGTTCTTCAGATCTATGGTTTTTGTGTTTTATTTTTATTTTTTGGGCATTATTTAGATAGTGTTCTCCAATTTTTGCAAATGTTTGTAGTGTTCTTCAGATCTAGCATTAATAGTAGTTCTTTTTTTAATGAGCATTAGTGGTGATTCTTATGTAGTGATTATGTTGCAAACATCGCCAGCGATATAATATCTCTCCCCTCAAACACTCTCTCCGATCACAAAATAAAAAAATGGAGAATAAATGCATAAACCATTTTCCCATAATTAGAAATACAAACCGTCTATCCATGATCCCACAAAATCTGGTTGCTATCACGATTCACGAATAAGAAAATAAATTCATTTTTTCCCCCTTTTATACCTAATAAAATCTTTCTCTATTTGTAGCAATTAGATCTGAAATATGAAATAGTGGTGGGCGGTTTACATGTTAGTCAGGATTAGGCGTGAAAATCGGTACAATATCGGTATCCCATTACCAAATACCGAAATCTCGAATACCGAATTACACCCGAAAGTCAATCCCAATCCCTAAATAATTTTGGTATCCCAATCCCAATCCCTAAATATTCCGGTATCCCAATCGGTACTCCGGTATCACAATCAGTATTATCGAATACAAAATTAATTACATTTCAAATAAATCATTAAATATATAAATTAGATTTTATTGTTTAATTTAGGACAAAAAGACTAAGCAAAGAGTCTTGAGTTTGCCTAGAGCTAACATATGGATAAGGAGAATGAAGGAGAGGTGACATCTCAAGTTCTTGTTATTGGTAATCTTTAATTTGACTAATTGAAGGCTGAGAGATGACTAATAATAATGTTTGCTTTTTGGTGTTAAGAAAATAGCACGTTATTAAGTGAGAGATGAGAGTGACTTAAATTGGAAAGTCAAATTGAGTTGGATGGGGACTTTTGAGTTGTGGAACAAAGGTGAAATGATCTATGTATAATGAAATGACACTCTTGGTAGTTGAGAGTTGTATAGTAGTGAATGAGAAAGTCTAGTTGAGAGGATAAAATATACACTAGTTTATATTTCGGTATTGATCGGTATTTCGGTATATACCGATCTCAATCTTGTAATCCATAATACCGAATTACAATTAAAATTCAATCTCAATCCCAAAAAATAATACGTGTTTTGGTAATACCAAATATAGACAAATTCAGTACAATATTCGGTATATTCCAATTAACGATACCAAACTTCCCAGCCTTAATTAGGATGGTGCTAACCCTTTGCAATTAGCACCTAGCTTCTCCTATGTAACTATGAGACAAAAAGGAAAAACGAAATTGAAGTGATACGCGGGCAATAAGCAACAAAACTATTTTACTCAATCAACTCAAAACTGCAAAGCTAGAGAGAAAAGGGACTCACCGCACCATAATCAACGAGACAACGACACTCGGTCCTCTGCCGCTCTCGCTTCTTCTACTTTCTCCAGTGAACGGAAGTAGCCGACGTGGAAGCCAGAGCAAAACGGCTGGGGAAATGAGGTAAGAAACTAAAACCATGATCGGAAGAGCTCCCCGCCTCCCCTTCGCCACCTCCATCGCCGTCGCCGTGCTACTTGCCGCCGGTCTCCGCACCGTCTGTGGCGCCGAGTTCGATGGAGACTACTCCAAACTGTCGGGAATCATAATCCCCGGCTTCGCATCCACTCAGCTCCGAGCCTGGTCCCTGCTCGACTGTCCTTACTCTCCTCTCGATTTCAGATTTTCAACCCTCTCGACTTGGTCTGGCTCGACACCACCAAGGTAGTAATTGCTTCACTGCATGCTTCGTCTGTGTGCTTTGTGATCGTCTTCTAGTTCCGCATTTCTGAGATCTCCCAATCGATTCCTCTTATTGGATAGCGATTGATTCATATGGTTATCGCTCCTCCATGTCGAATTACTGCGTCCGAGCTGTTGAGAGATTCTTGTGGAGGAATTGACGCCAGCTTACCTGTTGTTGTTCTGCAGCTTCTTTCGGCGGTGGATTGTTGGCTCAAATGCATGATGCTTGATCCTTACAACCAAACAGATAACGCTGAGTGCAAGTCGAGACCTGATAGTGGTCTCTCTGCGATTACTGAACTTGATCCAGGTTACATTACAGGTCTGTGCCTTTTCTTTCTTTCTACCCATCTGCGTTCCTTGTCGTTTTTGCAGAGTTTTTCTCCCCCAAAATGTTGAGTTTCAAATAGCATCAAGGAGTTAAATGATTATTGATATCTTTCTTCAGGTCCTCTGTCTTCTATATGGAAAGAGTGGATTAAGTGGTGCATTCAATTTGGTATCGAGGCAAATGCAATAATTGCTGTTCCTTACGATTGGAGGTTGTCTCCATCGATGCTTGAGGAGCGAGACCTCTATTTCCATAACCTCAAGTATGTTTGTTTCTACGGAGATTATCAATTTTTTTTTTGTACAGCAATGGTATGGTTCTCTGAATTGATCAGTAATTCTCTGCTAAAGCATTCATTCCATAGAGATCAATGGTGTTCTTACCATTTAAGGGTTCTGTTGGACAGCATTAGATATCTTTAAAAATCTTATGAACTGGCAGATAAATAAATTGTTAGCTATTGACAGCATCAGATATCTTTGGAAGCATTTTTTCACATATCGTCAGCTGTTGCTATTCCTGCACTAATCTGGATTGCTCAATCTAGTACACAAGGATTAACCAATGGCCGTCAGATACCACTATCTTATGACTGAATCATTCTTCCATTTACTCTTTCGCCTTGTTTGCAGATTGACCTTTGAAACTGCCCTCAAGCTTCGTGGTGGACCTTCTTTGGTATTTGGCCACTCATTGGGTAACCTTGTATTCCGTTACTTTCTGGAGTGGCTTAAGCTTGAAATTGCTCCGAAACATTACAATCAATGGCTGGATGATCACATCCATGCCTACTTTGCTGTTGGTATGACTAATTGGCACCAAACCCTATCTTACAAGTTTAGTTGCTGGTGGTTAAATCTGTGCACTTGTTTGATCTACTGTCATATCTGATCCAGGAGCTCCTCTTCTTGGCTCACCCGAGACAGTGAAAGCTACTCTTTTTGGAAACACATTTGGGTTTCCTGTTTCTGAGGTGACCGATTTCTTCTTTCATTTCTGAATATCATTCCGTCACTGGTGCACTGGCTAGTAATATATGTTATTCACAGGCTCTCATTAGTTTGCATCAATCTGAATTCTTCCTATACTCAGTTACACCAGATCGTAGTACAACTTCTCTCAGTTTTCTCCAATTTATAGTAGTTTTAAGTATCTGTGCTACCTTTTGTTAATGTCTCTCAAATATTTTCTAACCCATGTTTATGCTTTGGCAAGGTCCCAGGGAACAGCTCGATTAATGTTCAATTCTTTTTCTTCTTCATTGTGGATGATGCCACAGTCAAAGTATTGTACATCCGATAATCCATATTGGAAACATTTTTCTGGAGGATTCAGAAAGAAAAATCAAACCTATCACTGTGAGGAGCAAGAATATCGAACAAACTACTCTGGATGGCCAACCAACTTGGTCAACATAGAAATCCCTTCTATTCCTGGTAGGAGTTTGATATTGATTTGGCTGAGGCAATATTACTCAACTGCTCATGTATGCTGTATCTATGTGCATATTCATAGGGTTTGATGCCTATCCATCACTCCAAGATATGCTCGAAACAAACTTCTCGGCCTTGGAATGTGGACTCCCTACTCAGTTATCTTTCTCAGCTCGTGAAGTTGCAGATGGAACACTTTTCAGAGCCATAGAGGACTATGATTCTGACACAAAGAGGCTATTGTACCAATTACAGAAGTATGTTTACCCTTTCATCAATGCTGGTTCTGCTCATAATACCTTTACGTTGGAGTCCAAAAGGGCTTATTTATAAGAGTAACTTCTTACTGGCCTTTACCATCCAATATTATATTCTTTCAACTCAAGTCTCAGTATGGTAGAAGTATGGTTTCACTCAACTTGGTGCACTCTATCCCATCATATTGCCCATTTTTGCTAATCAGGTCCATGGCAGCATTACCTTTCTGTACGACTATATGGGTTGCTATTGGAGCACCCCAGTGCATATCATTCAGTTTTCATTCAATTGGCGAACTAACTCGTTTAGCCTCCCTTTTCCCGTTTTTGTAAATTGAGCTATGCCAAGGTTTTCAAACCATGTCTCTACCTAAGGGATTTACCTAAGCATATCTTGAAACCATTGCAGTCAAGCTAGGTGGCAGACCTGCATAGACTCGAATTACTGTATTGTGATTATCCTTGGGGTTTGCCGCCTTCGGGTGCAAGCGGATACTGAATCTCCTCTAGTATACTGCATGCATTCATTTCATAATGGTGGTGAATCATCAGTTGAACTTGTGAAATCATTGGAATTGCTTCAAAATGCAACTTTTTCAACAAAGTGTTAGATTAGTCTTTCTTCTGTTGTGCATGAGCGTACAGTAATTGTATCTGTTTGAACATTTATTGGTCTCCAAAAGAAGAAGAAAATAAACACCCTTCGGCAACGATTAGTGGAAGCCATATGCATGCAGTTCCGGTTTCAGGGGATGTAATCTTCAAAACTGTATTTTTCAGGTCATACCACGGTGATCCTGTTGTTAATCCACTTACACCCTGGGATAGACCTCCTATTAAAAATATTTTCTGCATCTATGGAATAGATTTGAAGACGGAGGTATACCTAAGTCCTCTCATACCCTCCTGGTTTAAATATGAGTTGTGTGTGGACAACATGTTCCTTCTGTTTTAGGATGATACAATGCAGTCACACCTTGCTTCCGCTGGATATTTACTTATCTGACCTTTAGATGCCCTTTTTAGCTCTGAATACACATACTAAAAAAATTCTATATCTTTTTAGCCACCAAGCTTGGGGGGATTTTGCTTTGTTCGCCAGTTTCATGCTTGAAAATAAGGGTCCAGTTGTGTATAAAGATGTGTGTTTCACTCTATTTTCCCTGCATATATATGGTAATGGAATCTGCAATGTCTTAGCTCTTAGATATTGACTAGGGTGAAATACATTCTTAAGCGGATGACTGCAGATATTTGGTGCTATTAGTATATTTGTCAGACAGCTTATCAGAATTTGTGCAAATTGTGCTTTTTCTTTGGACGAATAACAGCTGACCAGTTATTATTCGCTTGGAGTTCAATTTTATGAAATGCTGATGATAATTTTTGTATTGGGAAATGTCGAAGCAGGTTGGTTACTATTTTGCACCGAGTGGCAAACCTTATCCAGATAATTGGATCATAACAGATGTTATTTACGAGATTGAAGGATCCCTCTACACAAGGCGAGTATTTTTACTGTTGTTCCATTATTTATAAGTATATGAGTATGCCATATGATCTGCCAGTAGTTCCACTTACAAAGGAAGAGTCACATGTTTGCTATATGGTGAACATTGGTGCACCCGAACGAACTGAACTCCCCCACTTGGAAAATACCAACAAAGGCACGGTCGAGAACTGAAAAGTACTGCATTAGGATGGTTTAGTTCACAGGCCATTGATTTTACAACTCCCTATACCAGATTGTCATCCCTACCCTGTTTGTCAACAAATTGCAGTGGGAGGCAAACACACATAGCCTGTTTTGATTGGAGGTAGTGGATCCCATAAAAAAAATTATTAATATCTTTCCGTTCAAAATTTCCGCTTTTTTCTCTCTTTTCACTTTTCTTTTCCCCAGATACACAAATATATTGAAGTATTACTTTATTATTAATAATACAATGCATTTCCATACTTTTGGAATGGTTTCAAGCACAAGAATTTGAAATGAAATTTTGGGAAAAGAAGAATTGGAAATGAATTCCAATTTTGTTTTTGTAGAATTGTATCCAAACCGAGTAATAGTAGCTTAGCTGACAGCCTGATGCCATAACCAGTCCTGTGGCAATGCACAAGTGTTGTCGCAAACTCGTCTGTGCCCCCTTATCAGGTCAAATTTGTTAATTGTCATGATAGTCATGCCTTCTTGTTGAACGGGCATTGTTTCATCGGTTGTGCATATCTCAGTTCGCTCTTGCTAACATGTTTATCCTTGACCTTCTAGGTCTGGAAATCTGGTTGAAGGGAATCCAGGAGCTACAAGTGGGGATGAGACAGTAAGCTCATGCAACAATGCGTGCATTTTTATTTTACAAGAATACCTGATCCACAGATCCTTGAACTGTTGAACACTGATAGAACTCGAGTTCCGAGCTCTACCTAAGGATTAGGGAATTGGATCAACTAGGGATTGATCCGGTGATTTGGGAAATAGAAAGAGGGTTGGATTTGGGGCTTTGATCAAGAAGAAGGGAAGGGAGGAGAGGAGCTGCCGCGCGGCAGCCAAGAAGGAAGAGGGCTCAGCGCCCGGCGGCCAGAGAAGAGAGTGAGAGGGAGATTAATCAAAAGTAGGTTTAAGTTTAATCTTGCTTGCCCATTTCTATGTAGCATCATAGTTTAAGTACTAAAACATAATTACCTATCACTACCCCGACTTATTAATCTTAACCTATTCCCAAATCAAACCCACATAAACAATTCTTAACAATCAAATCCGAATCACAATAAACAAATAACTTAAGTGTCTATCAAACACCCTAATATTGATTCGTGGAACTGCATCCATGTGTTTTATCTGGAGTGAATATGCTGTATATTTCAGGTACCATACAATTCCTTATCACTATGCAAGAGTTGGCTTGGATCAAAAGTGAACATAACAAGGGCTCCTCAGGTATTCTCAGCCGATGAGTTATGAGCCTTGGATGTGCTCGAGTTATCTGCTTCTGACATATGGGATGAAGTAATTTATACTTCCTCACATATATTATTATAATACACCTTGCCTTGTGTGTGAAAAATTAATATTTCGACCTCTGGGAATAACTATGTGATACAGGAATGGTAGTTGAATATTTGTATCTGAAGGTTATTTTGATTTGCTGCATTATGTTCATGCGAATTGCAGGCCGAGCATGATGGATCTGATGTACAAGTAGAACTGAATGTTGACCATCTCCCTGAAGATGATATAATTGCCAACATGACACGGTCTTCAAGGGTAAAATATATTACATATTATGAAGATTCCGAAAGCATACCAGGAAAGAGGACAGCAGTTTGGGAACTTGATAAAGGTCGGTTTATGGCTTCTGTTCACTTCGGCTTGGAATATGAGGGGTATTTCATTTTATAATATGGAACCCGGAAAAGGACAAGGAAAGAATAACGGAACCATATTATGCTCAAACCAGTAATTCATGACATGTCAAGTACTGATTAGTAACTCAAACTATCCTTCTGTAGCAAATCATAGGAACATCGTTAGATCTCCGGTTTTAATGCGGGAGCTGTGGCTTCAGATGTGGCATGACATCCGTCCTGATACGACATCGAAATTCGTTACAAAAGGTTTGTCTTTTCATTCAGTACACTCTTCTTTCGTCAACCGTCTTGGATACTTCTTCACTGACATGTATTACGTAACAGCAAAACGAGGTCCTCTAAGAGACGATGACTGCTACTGGGACTATGGGAAAGCTAGATGCGCTTGGGCGGAGTACTGTGAATATAGGTTGGTTGGTCACGGTGCCCTCAATTGTGTATTGTCGTGTTGATTGTACTGTCTGCCCTTATGATGGTTTTGCAAGTGCAGATACATTTTTGGTGATGTTCACCTGGGACAGAGCTGTAGATTGAAGAATTCGTCAGCCGAGACACTCTTGAATTACCTTTAAGGCTATATGTATTTATTAGGTACATGTTCCTTCTCTTCAGCTCACGTCCATTTTAACTCGAAAGAGTTTGAAGAAAAATGAATATGATTTGATAATCACATCTAGAAGTCGAGTTTTATTATCTGTGTAACATTTTCACCTTGGCCTTCTTGGTGAATTACAGCACGTTTTCCTCCATGGTAGAAGCTAGTTATTAAGACTAGACAACTCTACATTTGAACTTATCTGAATCATTATCTCAATTATCTACTCACCAGCCTCACAGAGTTGACATGTATCAAGCAACTTTAACAGCAACAGCTCAATTACAAAGTAAAATCTTGAAACAAAGTACAAATGACTTTCTCAAGTGTTCTCAGTAAAGCTTTCAATATAAGGGTTGCATGGTACTTTTGAGTAATCCCTCCAATATGTTTCGTTCCTATCTTGCATGGTACTTTTGAGTAATCCCTACAATATGTTTCATTCCTCAGTCGCTTCCATGTATTTTGCAGCATAGCAATCCCCACCGATCATTGTACACAATTGTACAATAAGCAGCCCTCTCGCTGGAGGAGCAGCTGGGTACTTGGGTTGTGCGGAAGTTCCAAAATAAAGTACATTGCTCTTCAACACAAGCCTTCCAACAACCCTTGGCATCACAAACGCCGAGGTTTTGATGCTCGTTTTCCCCTGTATCCATACAGATGTGAATTCAATCCAGACTTGGACCTGCTGTTGCTTCAACTGAAATATCTAGGATTCAAAGCCGGTCCAGGTCAGAGAACTCAACATCTACCTCATGAGATAGCACTGGAGCATTTTTTTTTTACCGTCTTTGAAAAGCAATTTCTTGGCTAGTTAACAAAAAAACAGAAGTAACTTTGGGTAAAGATCTGTAACCGTCAAATGTGAACGTTGGGCATCTGCGACAAGCTGAAGTGTGAGTTTAGATTTGTGGTAGTTTTCTTCTAATAGGTCACCTGTAGTAAGCCTAATTTGGGATCAGAACAATGTGGTAGCCAGTCATTGATCATCCTTCAACAATCCTGCTCTGTAATATTGACTCCTTTAATGTCACATTAGATTACAACACATGCAGAACGAAGATGGAAGCAGAGACTGTTCCCAAGAAAAACAAAGAAGCTACAACTGCTGCAATCCGTTCAATGGACTGATGGACAACCACAAATTCACTCCTAATCGCAACACAACAGCATATGGCCAGAGAAAAAGGGTTCCATTGTGGCGGCGGAAGGGGCTAGGTTAGAGGGTCTTTTTGATCTGGAAGCAGTACTTGAGCTCCAGGTGACATCTTTTGTCATCGTCTTCAAACTGCCGGAAACAACAAAGAGGTAAACAACATCATGATCCATGATTAAGATTATGACTCCAGTTGCTTAATCAAGTTCTGATCATTCGACTTCAATTCGTTGGTAATTTGGACTGTACTCGTTGTACGTAAGATGGATGCTTTTCGGGACTGACCTTAAGCTTAGCGGAGTAAGTCCCGCGAGCTAGAATACCAGACGGAGTGGTCTCCTCCTCCAAAGTATGCACGTATGGCTCACGTTGAGGAGCAAAAGTACCCAGCATTCCTTTGTTCTGATCAACTGCATTTTCCCCCCGTCATGTTAGTTCAAAATAATCATGTCAATCGATCTACTTTTGAGCGTAAAGAAACCAGACCGAAGATGGAAAGAGCGGGAGAGAGAGAGATGGGCTGTGTTGTTGTGCACCTTGAATCCCTGACTTCCACACTGTATTTGAGTAGGTCAAACCGGAGACAATGTTGTGAAGAACAGTAAAGGTGAACTTGAGTTGATACTGAGACCCTTCCCTGAGAGTGAAAAGCAGGCGACTTGAGCGGCTCTCATTCTCATTGGCAACGATAGGCAATGGTGTAGTTACTTCCCCAAAGTCGCTGCACATTATGCCTATGGAATGGAACCTAACTTCCGCCTCTGTTTCGCCTGGCAAACCGCAATAGCAGCATATATCCGAGTGAACGATATGGAAACTGGAATGCCTGAAGAGCAGATATGCAAAGACAAAGCAAAGCTAAAGGCTCCTGTTAGGTCGAAATCGCTACCGTTCAATTCGCCGCTGATGGAGCCTAGCAGCTTCTCTTTCCACCTTCTCAAGCTGTCGTCATCCTGCGTGCGGAGTTAAGTCACACAAGACTCGTTCCTGTTACTCTATCTTGACAGCTTTATATTACCAGAAAAGGAAACAAAAGTGCTGATGCTCTCGACAAAACAAACAAGGGGAAAACAGGGGAAGGAGGGGAAAACAGGGAGGAGAAGAAGAAGGAAGCAGAGACCTTGTCCTTGTCAATCTGTTCCTTGAGGGAGAGCAGAGGCCCAGGGACGAACCCACTGCTACTGGTAGTAGTAACAAGAGGAGGAGGAATGTGACGATGATCATCACCGTCGCCATTATTAGCATCCTCCAATCTGTCCTCTAAGTCGTCGTCGTCATCATCAGGAACAGGAGGAGGTTCTTCTTCTTCTTCTTCTCCATTTGATGGCTTGACAGCGGCATCTGCATCCGACAACACATTATTGATCTCCTTTCCTTGTTTCCGCTCTTCAACGGCGCCACTACAAGTACTAGTACTGCTTCCACCTGCTGCTGCTGTTGAACAAGGACCAGCTTCTGGTGCTGTCTTCTTCCCACTCTCCATTTCCCCTGCCTTAACTTCTTTTTGTTTGCCTGGGTACGGAGCATAAAAAGATGGGAACTTTTCTGGGGGAAAGGAAGAGCTATTAGGACTGTTCAAAATTTTGGGAACCCCAGAACAGAGGGAAAGAGAAAGGTCACGAGAGGAAATAAATGGTGGGAAAGGAGAGAGAGAGAGAGAGAGAGTTTTCAGTTACCCCTGCTGCCCGCAGTTCACCGTCTCCTGCCTCCTTTTGCTGCTACTGCTAGGAAAGGAAAGGGCGCAGGACAAGTACGAGAGGGAAGGGAGTGAAAACCAAGGTTGTCAAACCGGTTTATACTACTGCATGGGTTTAGCAAGTGGAATGCTAGTATGCTACAAGCCTACAACTAGTGCTGCTATAATTGGTTTGTGTCGGTTTATGCCGGCTTAATGAGATATGAAATTCCAGATAAAATAATAAACACTCATATCTAAATATAATATTTAACGTCAATATATAAATGCTTATACTTGAATCCAACAAATTACATTAATTTTTAACTTTTATATTCATAAAATATATAATAATTTTGTTATCAATAAAATTTACTAAAACGATCTCATTTTGCTTATATTCGTAAATCAATTATATCGGTGGTGTTTATACCAATTTTATGACTGACGTCTGACAACGGTTAAATCAGGTTCAACCGACCGACATGCCACCGAAATAATAACCATGATGAAAACTGAAAACAACAATCGGGTTGAAGTGTGTGTTTGTCTGTCTCTATCTTGTCTTAAAAAATATTAAAGCAGTTTGAGAATTGGCCCTTATCCACGTAAGCCCTCCTCAAAAGTTAGCCTGCCCACGTCAACGCTATATAAATCCTCTCTCCGGGAAAAGAAATTCAACCAGTTTATTTAACCCCTTGACTTCACAACTCACAAGTCACAACTCACAACCGCACCGGCAGTTCCATCTCTATTCTCCAACCTTTTTCATCCCCGCGAGGCCGCGACAAACCCTGGAAGAAGCAACGCCACCGTCGACGCAACGCATCCTACGCTACCAATACTTCGAGCTTTCCACAACATCCCAAATCAAAACAACAAGCAATTTTGAGTCCAGTCAGAGGCGATCCTATTTATATAGTCGTGGCTCTCTGTCTGTCTCCGCTCTCAATCAGTTTGTGTATATGTTCTCCTTCTTCCATCTTTGGGGTTCTTTGTCAGACTCCATTCCAAGTCCCAAATAGTAACATACTTCTCCGGCAATCATAGGCCAATTGATGTTTCAAAATCACAATATATATTATGGAAGTGTGATTCACGGATGAGAGACAAGATTGGTACTTTTTGCCTTCATGCAGATTAAAAAATCCCTTCTTCCTCAGGTAAGAGATCGCCATCTGCCAAAACTATAAGAGAAGTCACGATTGATTGTCACATGCATTGATATTATGTGAGTGATTAAGTTACTTTTTCTCATTCTATTCGGTTTCTTTTGTTCTTTTCATGCTGAATAATTCTAGGCCTCAAATTGTTGTTTGTGATGAATGTTAGTGCTTCACTTTCCAAAAGGGCCTCTGTTTCCCCCTTTTATTCTGCATTTATTTCCTTTGCTGTTTAATTTCAGGATTGTTCTCTCAAGTTATTAGTCATCTATAAATTGGTTGTCTCAAATACAACTTAAATAGACTTAATTAGCCACATCAGGGTAATCAACCATCTCATTATAGATACCTAAACCAAATGGTACATTGTCTACTTTTCAATCATCAGTGGACAATTGAAGACATTCAATTACATTCCTCTATAAGTATAAAAGTTAAGAGAGTGATGTTTAATGAAGACATGACTTCCTTTTAACTCTCCGAACAACAACGCTAACTGATTGGCAAACAATCCCACAAATGACTACTATGCATGCTTAGTATATCACCTTTCAATATTTAGTTATATATTTGTGAACTTCTAATTATTTCATCGTGCTTTATGGTTATCAACATTAGATGTTGAGTTTATACAATCGGACAAATTAGGCACTTCAATGTTGATAAACTTTAGTAAAGGTTGTTTATTCTATAAAGATAGTATGGTCATCAATATTACATGGCTACATGAAGTGAAATTCTGTTATTGAAACCATAAAAAACTCCAGTAATTTGTAATCCAACGATCCAGACAGCAAGTTGTCACACAAGAACATGGATACAAATTAAATCTAATCACGCGACGACATAGACTATCCTAGAAATAATGAAGAAGAATAGAAAATAAAAATAAAATATGAATGTTTAACCCGGCCAAAGGCCGGGCACAAAGCTAGTTGTCTATATCCGTGTTCTTCTCCCTCTCCTCTTTTTCTTTCCTTTGTTTAGAAAAGAAGTTTTTTAAGAGCCAAACAAATGGAGTTGGGGCCAGCAATAATCTAGACAAGGCGGTAAAGGGACGACCTAATCAGGGCAAACAGTCTCTGAGTATGTTAGTTTAATATTTTCATATAGTTTCAACTTTATCTTGATCAATTTTTTCATTCATTAATTAATATAGTGGTTTATACTATCACTTAAGACGATTGATTTGACTTAAATTAAGTGTCGATAGTTATGTTGGACGATCAAATTTATTGACTAACGATCGATCCGTCCTGCCATCACCTAATTAGCACAAACAAACTTTAAATTTTCAAAAAATCCACATGATATCCATTTTCCGATTTTCCCCCAAAATTGAACATATGAAAAAAAAAAATACTCATTCTTCTTTCACAAAAAATTTAAGTTTGTTTATGCTATTTTTTTTTTGTTTTTCCGTTAGTAACAGTTTTGACCGTTCAATATAATGGTCAACACTTGTTTGGACCAATCAGACATTTTGGTGATAGCATAGACCATGATATTAATTAGGGAAAATATTGACCAAGATACTAAAGAAGAAAGTTAAAGTTCGGGCCAAATAAAATTTTTATGTTAAACATGAGTTGTTAATATATGGGTAACCCTATCCTTCTCCTCACCTCATTCTCTAAAATCATCATCCATAAGGATTTTAATGGTTAAGTAGTAGTTTAAGGTAAAACAATTTCATTTTTTTTTTTACAATGTAAAACAATTTCATTGATTCTAAGGTTGGAATGACTAAAATTTAAATTATGGAGCATTATAATTCTCAATTCTTTGAAGCTATTGTTTTGTGATAGAGATTTCTAGCATCGTATTGGATGTTTTTTTTACGAGTGACTTTGTAGGGGTATCCTAGTATTATAAAGGTAAATCAAGGTAGTGCAATCGATTTTGTTGGTCTATCAGGTGATGGTTCGATCTTATTTGCTTTTAGGAAATTTTATGATGGTATCTCAAATGCGCTTATTGTTGATTTACTTTCTCAACGAGATGTTATGTAATGGTGTCTAATGCTTTAGTTTTCGGTTGTGACATTTGGGGGCAACTTGCAAGTTGCAACTAGTCATCAGACAGAAATCTACACACTCGCAGACCTAGACTACCTTGGATGAGAGTTATTTTCGTTATATGAACATTACGTCCCTATTGTGTTTTTTTCTCATTATTTGAGTTAGTGAATGCGTTTGATCGCATTCCGTCTTGTAGTTGAGTCTCTATTCTACGCCCTATGAGCTTGCTTTGTAACTCACTTTTACTAACACTCTAATCACTGATGCACCACAAATCAGAGAAGAGTATAGAGGAATTAAGTCTTAAAGGTCAACTCAGGGCTCTAGATGTACTATTACTCAACAAATTATATGTTATCTAGCAAATAGGTTGTAGTGTTGATTACTAAAAAATTAAGAAACAAAGTAGGTAAATCGATTCGAATTCAAATGCGAGAAGTTCACCCGGGTATGTTTCCCCCTAGTCCTTACTTAAGTCGATGTTCTGTACTCCCTAATTGTTTCACTTGATACTTACACGACCTGTCTTCTATATGAAACACGTTCATGTTTTGTGGTTGCTTTGGTCGTGTTTCTTCTCGTAACCAATTACTCAACATGTTTGATGTATGAAACACGCCCGTGTTATATTTCTGTTTGACCGTGTTTCTTCGCGGTAGTAGTTACACGGTTCACGTTTGGCTTGGACAACTGGCTAGGTTTTCTGGATAGAACACGGGCAAGTAGCACGTTCGTGTTCCCAATGCAGTCAAAATCTCGATTTGATAGTAAAAAAAGTACAATACTTTTGGGTGAAATGTCACTTTTATCCTTTGTTTTTAATATAAAAAAGCAACAAAAAAGGTAGGGACGTATTTGAAAGAAAAAAAAAACACAACATTTTTTTATAGGTAAAAACACAACATTCTTATTCAAACAATCTCACCAAAACTTGAGATTTAACTATCATTCATTTTGAGTGATAGTTTGCGTCAAATCAAGCAAACAATGCATGTATTGTTTGTGCAAAAAAAAAATTTTAAAAACAACGAGGCATTGTGGACAAGGCATGGATTGTAACTATCTCAACCACACAATCGCCAAACCAAACGACCCCTTAGTCACATGATCTTATCCCTTTCTAGGTATACAATTTTACTTTTTACTTTATATTGTCTTTTTTTTTGGGCCAAAAGCTCACTTGCATTACCAAGAAAAGAGATATATAGTTTACAATTCAGACCTCAACCGAGAGGCGAAATCAAACCCCAACACACTTGTAGGAAACAAAGAAAGGGCATTTCTAGCCACCAAATGGGCCACCCGGTTGTTCCGCCTACCAATGAACTGGATTATGAAATCACTGTACTTCTGTCTCCAAACCGCAATCTCCTACAGAATGATCCCTCCTCGAACATCTAGCACAGTCCTAGAGCTAATCTTATCAATAACAGAACAGTAGCAACATCTCCCACAAATAGAACTGCCTCAAAATCCTTCAACGAGCACCACTGAATAACGTCCCGAAATGCCACCAACTCCACCAGAAAAGGATCCACGAGCCCTGCATATACCAATCCCTGCACTAGAATAATCGATCATGAACCATCCTGTACCACTACCCCCTGCCCCATGCGACCTAGTAGCAATCACCCCATCCACATAGCATTTGACAACCCCTGCAGGCAAGAAAGATGGCTCGGCAACAGGATGAATTGCCCTTGGAGCTACCATATCTTGATTTACAATCCCCACTCCTGCAGCCGGGACGATATTGCCGAAGCAACGCGATTGAAGTATATTGAAAATGCTCAAATGCTTCCCAATTTTGCAACTTGCATATCTTCCAAAGGAGAGCCACCACCTGCATTACAGAAGTAGGAGAATCATCTCATTCTACTAAGCTACAAAAAAACAAGGCAAAGTTACTCTCTGGCAACCTCGCTTTGGCCGCCATCAAACT